GTTGTGCTGTGTTTAACTTTTCTCGCCAATTATATGTATTAGTATGTATGTATATACGTACTCGCTATTTGACCTTTGGCAGTGCATTTAGTATTCGTTGGAGAATTTACTTGTTTCCATTTCCATTTAAGGGAAAAACTTGAGTTTTTCTTTTATGTGTGAAAGTATTTAATTTTTAGTGCGAAGTTCATTAGGTAAAAGTGGAAGAGGGAAATCTTATGGAACTACATATTTTACTTGGCACGCAAAGGGATTAAATGAAGGACGGCAAATTTAAAATCTATCCAATGTATTTCTAGGCTTCAGCATGAAACAAAATCTATTTTTTATGGAAGAAAATGCGCAACACCCTCGACAAAAAAAATCTCAAAAAATCAACCGTAATCTTTAGCTAATTGAAACTTTATTAGACTAAAATTGAATGCCCATGGGCTACACAACTGCATATATATAATATACTTACACGAAAGTTTTCTCACAACTATGACTCAAAAATTTGAAATTTTTGTTGAAATTTTTTTTTAAAGTTGGTTTAATTTTTGTGAAATTTCTGTTATGGATTGAATTACATATCTTTTAAATGCAAATTGTTAAAAACAAATAAATAAATATGCGTACATACATACATACATACATAGGTACATATGTACATGCATATGTAAGTTGCAAACAACGTTTTCAAATTTAGTGCTAAATCTTTGACCTTAGCTGTATGTAGATGCATTTCGTTGCCCAAAAGACATCCGGTCGCTGTCCGGAGTGCTGTGCTTTGGGTCGCCGACAGCTTCATCCACTGCGTCCTACTGGTCATCGGCTACCACCACACTGGTGCTGCTTAGTTTTGGAACCGACAGGCCAATTGCCTTGTATGTTGCCAACAACGTTTCTTTGTCTTTGCCCCTGGTACTGCCGGCTAGCGACTTGATCTTGTTGCGGCTCTGTATGTGCAGAGAAGGAGAGCAGACTATCGAATGTTACTCCGAGTATTTTCGGGTTATTCACCGAACGATTTGTCTGCAGACGACAACGTCTCTAATTGCGCTTTTATGACTCTATCCGTCGCCTTCGTCTTGCTTTTGATCGATTATCGTCTCTGTTACGGTTAAACCGGCTAGAATGATGCCGCTGGACTAATTTTTTAAGCATCCTTCTGTAGACGAATCGTTCGTGATACACAATAAGGCTGTTAACTCTACATACATTTATGCAATTGCAAATGTAAAATATGTAGTGTCCGTGTACGCATGGTATTCTGGGTTTGGGAATAACACAGAACATCCAATGGTTAATCAAGTGAACACAATAACTCAAAACTGATAAATTTGCACATTCATGCTTCTGGCATAAAAAATGTTAAATACACCAATCAAAATATTTTTATTTATTTAATTTCAGTTATATGAACAAATTACTCTTAAATCTATCAATACTTATGTTAAAATCGATAACACCAGAATATGCATTGCACAATTCAATGCATCTAGCAATTGGTTAATTTTTGGCATAATTCGTGATATGCAGTGTACCAACCAATAGCCTATTGTTTCTTAAATTACGCGGGGGATTTTATAAGATGAGCAAATTTGGTAGATAGATAAGCGCAATTCATGTACTCATTGATTAATTTATAAATGAATACAATGTAGAAGTAATCTCTTCTTTCATGCAAAGACTGGAGACCCAGCAATTCACGTCTGCCAATATAGGAAGGAACATAACCTTACCATGGCAACTTGCGAATAGTGAATTTGGTGAAAATATTTTGAATTCTTTCTATTTTGATCGAGTATACTTCATAATATGGACTCCATATAATAGAACAGCATTCCAGGCGGCTTCTTACTAAAGAGATGATATAAAGGGATTTTAAAGTTACTGAATCTTTGAACTCTTGAGGTTTGCGCCTAATAAAACCTATCATTGAGAACGAATTAGATACAATATAGTCAATAAAAAATATAAAAAAAAAAACTCTTCAACGGAGTGCATCGTTCACACTGAACTCAAAAACGAATGCAGCAGCAAATCGCTTCTCGCTTCCACTCTGACATCAACCTAAGTGGCTCACTGAAGTTATAGTTCTTTACTTAGCGGGTAAGTACTAGGTGCCCAGTAGATAATTTCAGAAGTTGAAAGCCCTTCCGAAAGGCCTTCCTGGGGGTAAAAAGGCCTTCCACTCTACATTCTTTTCTTTAGTGCTCCATTTGAATGTAAAGCAGTGGATCGTCACTTCTTTTCCTATATATAATAATAATAAAAAAAACAACAAAATATTGCAATTTTTTCTTTAAGGAGCTAAGGAGCAAATTAATTTCTTAACTCTTGGCTCCAGCTCAGCACCAGCTAAAATCCTTTGCTCCGCTCCGCTCCGAAGCCCTGTCTAATACTAAATAATATACATTTATGCATTCGCGTAAATTGTAAATGGATAAGCTCTTCTATCTAGCCCTTCATGCAAGGAAGCACTTTTTTCAGCCCTTCTTGAGTAGGCCTCATAGAATGGCTTTACTTGAGAAGGCCTACCTAAATTATCTTATCTATAGCTAAACTAGAACCTCCATTGCTCTTGACTGGGGGGTTCATGCTCAAAACCACACATTGTGAGAAGATATGCATTTTTATTTATGTTTCATTATGAGTCGAACTGTTATTACAGTGAAGCTCACCCGCCTAAGTACCTAAATCTTTCGTACCCCATTTAACATTTTACTTATAATTTTTCCCTTTTAAGTGCTCCCACAACACGGTCGGCAAAAAAAAAAAAAATCAACGGTAATTTTTAGCCACTTGAAACTTGCTAATAATGTAATAAAATTGAATGAGCTATAAACCACTTATAAGAAAAGTTTGAAATTTTGATGCATTTTTTTCACTGTTCTAAAAAATGTTAAGCTTAGATTTATATGGTATTGGTTAGGAAATGAACTGTGTTTTAATTGAGAAATTTTAAAAATTTATAAATAAGCATAAGTGGCAACATCATTTTTTCATTTTTGAATGTGGTACGAAATGATAGATATGACCAACACTGTATGTATGTACATATAAATATGTATGATCAATGACTTTAAAGAATTGAATTCTTGTAAAATTTACATAACATTGCTTTATCGATTTTTTTTTATAAAGGTTGTGTTTATGTGTTTAAGTAATGCTACGATCTTTGTTTTAAACAACGTAAACTTCATTAAATGTTCATGTTTTATTCAAGGACTTATTTATGTAAGTTAACAAGAACATCAATAATTATGTTCGCTTAAGTATCCGCATCGAGGTACTTAAGTGGGTTCTTTTTAGTACCCAACCCTTCGTAAGTACCTCAAAAAGCTGAAATTTTTCGTGAGGTACTTAGGTGGGTTTTACTGTATTGCACTTCGAAATTTTTAGTCTCGTAGAAATAAGTGAACTTTTATTAAATTTTTACTCACACAACTTTTTGTTATCGGCACCGTACCATGCTATCGCGGCGAAATTCAGTCGTTAAAGCAGGCCGACCGACCCGTATGCCACGCACAGCCGCAGTTTTAATGTTTACTGTGCTGTACTCGATATCATGCCGGATGTGAAAAAAAAAAATACATTTCGTCGATCACCTTTGTTTCACAGTCGTCTACACACCACAACACTTGATAAAATTTATGGATATTTTTAGGAATTAACTTCACTCGCCATTGAAAAAGATCAGCAAGAAATATACACTGCGGTTTATGGCTGTTCTTACTTGTGTTCGCGTACATGCATAAGTATGTACTTATCATATACATAAGTAAAGTCTAGCAACTTGTAGTTTTCAGAAGTCATTAAGGGAAATGCAGTTGCAAATGGCTCCTCGATGAGTTTGGTCGTGCTGACCTGACGAGTTTTTTGGTTAAAGCAAAAATTGAATATAATGCAATAAAAATGAAGTCCTTTTATTAAATATAATATATAAAATTTCAATCAAGTGAGTATAATATCTTTAAAATGAAATTACATAAGTAACGAAATATATCCTTACTATTTATTTATAATATTATAAATTCGAAAGTGTGTTTTGTTTATTTATTACGCTTTCGTGCTTTAACTACTTAACCGATCATCATGAAATATTGTACACTGATGTCATTTAGCCCAACTTAAATTATAGCATAGATTTAATCTCGATTGTACAAGGGGGCGTGGCACCTCCCATACAAACTGAATTTTTCATACTGCATATCGCAGCAAATATTTATGATAGAGCACTGGAACTTGGTATTTCGATTCCACACATATGGAGGAGGGTTGCCACCTGTTTAAAACATCAAATTCAACTTGAGTTAAGGGAATTACTTATTTGAAAATTAAAGTGCGCCAAATTGTGTTGGTTCTGAAAAACTCGATCGATTGACGACGGAGTTAGAATTGAGTGGTTAATTTAGTCAGTCCTATGATGCAAAATCCTTACCGGGAATACATTTTATACAAAAAGCAAACAATTTTCATTTAATTTTAGTATTTACAGCAAAAAAACTGATAATTTTTTGAAAATGTCAAAGAAGCGAAGAAAAATCAAGAAGGGTTAAAAAACTCCTAAAAACAAAAAAGTCTCAAAATTCTGGATAGTCCGGAAAAATCCCGAATAACCTCGAAAAATCAAGTAAAATTGTCAAAAAGTCCTGAAAGACCCTTTAAAAAAATGCGAAAAATCCGAAAGACCACGCCAAGTATTCCGACAAGTCCAAAAAATTTCGATATAATACCGATACGTAAAAAATAAAAATCATGCAATGATGAAATTCAAATATATACATATCAACATAGAAACTGTTTCGAAAAATATTCCGATCAATTGTTAACCTCCTAATTATTTTGAAGTCGTTTTAAAAACTATAATAATAATTTGCCATGTACGGGTTTTTCGTAAATCTAAGTTTATCTCTTAACAATATTCGTAACTCTTAAAATTGTTGATTTTCTTAATTTTCCCCATTTTAATTATTTCTTATATTTTTCTTTTTATCTTTCTTTCCCAACAAAAGGGTGGTGAAGTCATACAAGAAAGCATCACCTCCAATGTCAGCGAGGACCTAATTACTTTAGAATTTCAAAAAACGGATGGCACGCTTATCACACAAGTCATTGATTTTCGAAATGTAAGTATTGGCACAAATTTTACACTGAATTAAATATTACTTAGTTATTTAGTTCTTCTTGCATGGGTAGTCTCACATTTTATATTTTTTTCTCTGTCTACCTTCCCTCTTACAGGAAGTCAAAATCGTCAAAGCACTCGTGCTGGGCGAAGAGGAACGTGGCCAAAGTCAATATCAGGTCATGTGTTTTGTGACGAAATTCAATAAAGGCGATTTCATTTCATCCGATGCAATGGCGAAATTGCGTCAAAAGAATCCCAGTACAATACGTACACCGGAGGAAGATAAGGGACGAGAAACGTTTACGATGACATCGTGGGTTCATCTAAATCGTTCATTGCCAATAACACGTCACCTGCAAACGTTATGCGCTGAGGCCGCTGATGCGACTTATGTGCGTAGTGCCGATCTGAAGGCGTGGGCGGAATTGCCAGGTGTGTATTTGTATTATTTTTTTTTCGTATTGTATTAAGTTTATGTTTTGCCAAAACAAAATTTTTGATGAAAGCCTATTTGTAAGGTATGCTCTGTGAAATATTGACGAGGTTAAGTTATTTATACCCCTTCTGGCCCCCTTTCGGTTGCCTATTCGTTTAATATAACTTAGAAAAAGCATATATCTTAAAAAAGCAAAAATATCCTTTTTATGAATGTGCATGTTAATTAATATATTAAGGAAGGCATTTAGAAAGTAGATAAACTATCGTCTTTCTCTTGGAAATTCAATTTGTGATCTTACTAGCAGACCCGGCGGACTTCGTCCCACCCAAAATTAATTTTTTATTAAAACATTTGGTACAACGTTTTCACCAACAATTCACGTTCACGTATTGTTTTGTGGTAGTCAGAAGGCAAATTTGACTTTGATCGTTGGCGTCTCCAAATGACTTCACCTGACAATTTTTAACCAATAACTCGACTCCAGCGCCACCTTGCAGATCTTTTTTTGCAATAGTAGATATTGCGCTTACCGTTACCAATATATATCTCGAATATGAACTAGGAATGTTAATCCCTAGAGCTCAGGATCCCGGCCTTTTTAAGGTCCCAAAAATCCCGAGATTCTTGGCAAATAATCCCGGGGTATTCGGGATTTGTAATTTAACTGATGGCAATAATAGAAACACCTTGACCAGTATTGGCTATATATATATTTTTTATTAATTGATTAATACTTTTGTATAAAAATGACTAGCTCATTATGCATATAACACCGTGCGATAGTAAATTTTACACACAAAAATCAATATGTTCGCGAAATCATGCGCCAAATATAGTAAAATTGCGTTTTTAGTTTTTCACTCTGACGTCAGTATTTCAAAAATGATTTTAAAAAATTCAGAGAAATGTGCTTGGAGAAAAAGTATGGGTATCAAATTAAAGAAAAAATCCTGTAAAATTTAAACAGACTCAAGCTTTTGGTGCAGAAGGACTGGTAAGTATTGAAAATGCCCTTTTAAAATTTTATCCTTGAAATTTCGCAATATTTGTTTTTGAAAAAATTATATGTTAAGGACTTATATAAACTCGATAACATCTTCGAATTTCGCCCTTCTAACTTTAAAAGCATAAAAAATTACCTATTCGTCTTTGTGAATCCAAAAAATTTAATTTTTTTTTTAATTCTAAAGAAATTTCCTCTTGCATTTGGTACCCATATTTTTATTCTACATTGCATTGAATTTTTAAAAAATTTTTTGGTAATAATCATATCTTTGAAATTACAAAGTCCTTTGAAATAAATCCTGACGCCAGGGAGAAAAATAAAAACGCCACTTTAAATAAAAAATTAGGTTTCAAACCCATTTATTTATTATTTATTTTATGGTAGGAGAGCTTCTCAAACAATATAGAAGCATTTGTTTTGATTTAAGTTGTTGAAAAGTAAAGAATATCTAAATCCCGGGACTAATTCCGGGATTGTGATAGCGACATCCCGAAAATTTCGGGATCGGAAAAGCGGAAAAAATTAACATCACTAATATGAACCAAATCGGTCATCAAATAAAATTTTTAGTAATAACTCGACTCCAGCGCCACCTGGCATTTTAAGTTGGGAACCTAACTTATCACTCAAACAAAAAAAAATCATTAAAATCGTTTCGGGCGTTTAGGAGGAGTTCACTCAATGTCGAACATTAACGTTGAATTATAAGTTGCAGAAAGTCGGAGAAAAGAATCCTATATGTTATTCTGGGAAAAAAGCTACCTAAATGCGTACCAAATTTCAAGCAAATCGGACCATAAATAAGATTTTACGAATAGATAGGTCCCTGGACCATCTATCAGAAAAAATAACCAAATATCCAATATAAGCTACCTACGCACAGTGCCGTGACTCCATACAAATGATGGACAAAAATAGAAGGAGT